TTATATTATGTGTGTCCACATGTGCTTTTGTGTGTGCTTCCAAAAAAAAAAAAAAGGAGAGAAGAAAAGGCACCTCCAGCCCACTCCAGCAGACCCCTGAGCCACTTTCCTTGCCACTATTCCCACTTTTGTCTTTTTAACTAAAAAGCTTTCCCAATATGAAAGGAGGAACTCAGGAGCTGGCTGAGTAATCAGCCCAGGGCTCTGCTGGCCATCTGGGCAAATGCAGGCAGGGCCACCACAGCCTGAAGTCTGTTCCCTGGGGATGCCAAGGAAAAGCAGAGTATCCCTGCCTCCTCCCTGGGGCATCTTTGCATGTTATCTGCTGGAGCTTCTCATCCCATCCTAGGGTGGTTGCCAGGGACTATTATGATCTTGTGGGGTCAGGGGCTATTATGCATCAAGCCTCAGTGTGTTTTAGGGACTACAGGGAACCCACTGTCAACACCATTCAGGGCTGGCGTTATGGCAGGCACTAATTACAATAAGCCAGGTTTCACACAGGGGAAAGTCAGTGGCTGTCCCCATCCTCTTCCTTTTCTTATCCTCTTCAATTTCTTAGTGTTATCAACTGATTTTAATGGCCTCCCAGAATCTGGTGAAAATTGGACTCAGAGTCTATTTATTTAGACAATCACGGGCCACAAAATTCATTGCACTCTCAGTTTCCACACAGTCACATCCCCTGCCTCCCCCAGGCTCTGGTTCCAGGCAGACTCTGTTTGCAGGTTAAAAGGAATGCAACTTGCATGTTGTAGTTTAATGAATTTACATAAATCCTTAAAGTAATATTGCTGGACCCCAGCTTGCAAACTGGACTTTAATTTTGTGCATTGGATTTGTGTAAAATCAAAGTCAGGAGAAGGCTCCCCACACTTGTTCCCTTTTCCCACCTCCTCTTTCTCAGCACTTTTTATTTAGGGCAAGCAAAGAAGTTAAAAATGTCAATCTCACAGTATGTACTGTCAACAACACAATGAGGAGGCTGAAATAAAATCCTCCAACTTCACGGTGATACTTTATACTTATATAGGGTCTTTTATGAAGAGCCTTCCAGTGCCTTTGCACATTAACCCTCACTGTGCCTCCTTGGGCTGGGCCTAGAGCCTACACTGGTGAAAAAGCAAAGGGACGGTGGGCTAACACCTCATTACATGGCAGGTTCCAGGTAGATTCTCTAAGTATGTGAAACTTTACATCTCTCCCCTCACCTCCTCTTCTAGCAAATGTAGGGTATATCAGCCCCCTCGCCAAAGGTCCTTGGTATTGCAATAGTGTCAACAACCAAATAGACAGAATACACCTGTGTTGAGGGCACCAGGAGGCAGCCCTCACTCCTCTCATGAAGAAAAATAGCATTTGTAAGTTTGAAATTTGATATATCATGAAATGCATCAAAGCAGTGATTATGGGAGTAATCTGAACTTTGTTGGAATTCCTTACGCTCACTTTATGGTTTTGTCTTGTTTTTGTTCGATTTATGTAAGAGGGCTACCATAACATCTGCAGTGATTAAAGCCTATAAATGTCTTTATTCCACTATGTGTTTGGGGCCCTCAATGTAGCACCTGTTTTGTCTTTTCTAAGTTTTACCTTGTATACCAACTTTGTGTCAAATATGATGTATTGTAAGTTGTGGTTACCAAGAATTTTCTAATTGGTCACAGGGCTCCTTCCTAAAGAACCTGGACAAAACTACATGATCTTTATCAATGTATGATGGTAGACAAGAGGGTCATCTATTTGCTTCTCTTGTTTAAACCAGTGCCTCTTGAAATATGGTCTGAGGACCATATGTGTGAGAATGACATGGGCCACATTCTAAACACGAGGGTTCTCAAGACCTTGAGACTCACACTCTCAACACCATGCCAGTTTGTTTGATGAAAGCTGAGGTATTCTGTGCTATTCTTTGTAAAATTTCCTGTGCTTCCTATTCCTGACCATATTAACTCTTACAGTGCAGATTGGATGGCCTGCTGTTTCTTAAGCCCTGGTAGAATGATGAGCTCCAGGAGAAGACACAGGTACTGCAGCAGAAAATACTCATTACTGAAGGCTCAGTGTAAAGGGCAACAGGCAACAAACATACTGAATTCCCCTCACTGCCAATATTTTCGCCATCCTGCAGTTGGATCTTGCCCATCTCCAAGGGTATGGAGAATTTACTCCACAGTAATGCCCTAGGACTAAGCCTGTGAGTCCGGTTCCCATGTTCTTTGCACTTGTCTTTCAGACCTATGACTTATCTTTTCTTGGAAGAGCCAAGCAGAGGGGCTGGGTTACATAAAGGAGCAGAAGACACATGGGTTTGGGGTTGACATCTGAAGCTCTGTTGAATGCCCACTGGCATGTATCTGCATATAGCAATCAGACCCAGGTGTTTTAATGGTGGCCACATGCTTCTTATTCCAAGCTACCACTATTCATATTAGTTTACTAACTTCTTGTTCAATATTTATCATCCTCAGAGGACTCCAGGGCTCCTTAGGACACTGGAGGGTCGGACGGACCTGAGTTGAAATTCCGGATCTACCACTGACTATTTGTGTGATCACATTCAAATTAGTTCAGGAACGTATCTTCCTGGGCCTCAGTTTTCTTGGTTGTGAAAGGTGAGCGAAGATAATAGTGTGTCACTCACCGGTTTGTTTGTTTGTTTGTTGTTGTTGTTGTTGTTTTTTGCGATGGAGTTTCACTCTTGTTGCCCAGGCTGGTGTGCAGTGGTGCCATCTTGGCTCACGGCAACCTCCGCCTCCTCACTGGGTTATTTTAAGGGTAAATTAGATGATGCACTGAAAGCCAATGGCACATGGAAATGCTGAAGAAGGGGCAGTTGTGTATGAGGACGGGGGAGTGGCAGACTCAGACGCTGGAGCTAGAAACTGTGCCTGGGATCATGGTCCTTGTAGGTCCCTTGTAATACAAGACATCACCACTAAGCAGTTTTAAGAGACCTTTTGGCTGTTTTTTAATCTATGCCGATCTGATTGTCATCTCTGACTTCAGGAATTTTCCAGTTTAAGACAGAAAACACTTATTCACATAATAAAAATAACCAGCGTAAGACATTTAAGAAAATGATCAGGTAAATAGCCATATATGTGCCTGTTATAATGCCGCCCAGCCGTCCTTCTCCCAGGCCTCAGGGAGAGAGGACATTACCTGAGCGCAGGACTAGCAGGTGTGCAGCAGGCGGGCAGGCACCGCTCAGCAGGTGGGGGGAGTTTTGGCAGCAGCATTCACAATCACCTAGTAGGTAGAAGCGGTGAGGATGGCCTTTCCCTCACCTACCCCCACGTTTCCCCTCTTTTGTTTTTTATACTAAGTTGTAAGTCTAGCTAAATACTTGTATTTAACTCTCGCTTGGGAAGGTATGACCTGGATCACACCCAAGGGGCTCCAAAAGTGCATTAAACAGAATCTGGCCTCAGGTTCCTATAATATGTGGGCCATAAAAAAAATAAAAATGTGCAGGAAACATGGGCTGTGCTTTCCTTTTCTTGAAACTATTATGGACATAAGATATCTTCCCACTATGAAGTAAGACAAGAATTGGGTATGCTTTCTCTAGAGGAATGGAAATAGTGCTTTGAAAAATCTATCCCACCTTGGTGGAAATTTTCAGTCATTCTTTTTCTTGGACTTTTTTTTCCCCCAAAGAAAAACATAGGCTCTAATGTATGGCGTATGCCTGCGAGTTTCCAATATAAAGGCCTGGTAGGTAGTATAGCACGTACACAGGGCTGGGTTTTACACCATCACTCCCAGCCACTGAAGAAAGGCAAAGTCCCTTCTTAATAAGGCTCCGCAGACCCACTGTGGGTTAGCACTTTCTAAACTCCGCCTGGAGATTTCCTTAATGTTAGACTAGCCATGACAAGGAGCTGGTCACACCTGTGCCCCTACCAGCTTTCTGACTTGTCGCTCCAGTGCTTGCTAGCACCCAGGAAACTGAACCAAAGCAGCTCACACTTGTCTTGCCTTAAAACTTCATTTGTCAAACAGGGATTGCACAAGGAAAAGGTCAGCACTTTATGTTCTGAGCACTTAACTTGAATCATTTCTGAAGGTGGACAGAGTCTAAGAGGTCTTTAAATCAGTGCTCAAATGTAAGGGGAAAGGGGTGGGTCCTTGGATCAGAAATGAAAACTAGTGCCTGTGTCTCCCTCTTCTCAACCCTATTCCACTCCCACATACCATTGCATCCTGGGAGAAACTCCATCAACATTCATTCAATCAATACCTCTTTCATGAGCAGCTACTATAGGTCAGACATTTAGTGAAGAAATAGCAAGGTTTCTTTTTGAGGTTTCTTTTGAAAATTACACCATCAAGTATTTTTATTATTATTTCTAATAACAAAAATGAAACATGATCATTGAAAAAAAAAGTCAAACCACAAACAAAGTATATAAACCTGAAAGTTCCTTCCACCTTTTTTCCCGAAGGTGACCACTGTTAATCATTTACATAATTCCTCTCATCATATGCAAAGTTATTTTTCCTGTTTAGTATGCCACATTCTATACTGCACCTTGCTTTATCCACTCAGTAAGCGAGCACCTACTTCTGTCCACGTCAGTATACTCAGTTACCTCCATTTTTGTTTTCTCATATTGATGAATATTAGTCTCCCTTTTATTGGCTTACAAATAATGCTGCAAAGAACATTCTTGTGCTTATATCTTTGTGCTCTTTTGGGAGTGTATTTGTGGGATCACTATGGAAAAGTGGAATTGCTGGGTCTAAGGGTTTGTACTTGTAAAATCTTTAGGTACTTCTAATTTACTTTCCCTTAACAGGGTGCTCATTGAAGACCCAACAATGACATACAAAATTTGTGTTGTCTTTAACTATTTCCCACATGAAAGTAGCATATATTGGGGTCTTGGGACCCAACCAAATCAATAACTAATTGCTGCTCTTTGAGGAAATCATTTTCAGACATGCAGTGAGCATCTGCTGGGGGTGGTGAGATGTGAGGTCATTGTTTTCCAAGGCCAGGGAGAGAGCTTAATCTAAACATACACTTCATGCCACAGAATCAGCTAACTTTGTTCCTGCCTCCGCCCTTAGTGCTCACCCTCCACCTCCCACATTTCTGTTTAGGATTCACTATGGCAAGTGATTTAGGTATAATCAAATAACACTTACAAGGCAGCCCTCAAAGACCTTTCAAACTGAGTTGGGGAGACAGAACACAGATGGCTAAAAAACAAACTAAAAATACTAGTCAGTATATAAAAAGCAGCAAATAAATATAAATAGTAAGCATCGTTATAGCAGTGCGGAGGAAGGAAGGAAAACAGTGGGCTGGAGTGTTCGGGCTTCGTGGCAGAGACTCGGTGTTGGATCTGTGGAATTTCTCTAGGTGGGGGTTAGGGGTGGGAGGGGAGATAACTGTAAAAACTGTAAGAACCAACAGACAGAAAAGAGATTCCAGGAGAGAGTGGAAAATAGGGGAGAAAGGGCCCACTTTTATTCTGATAGTTGCAAGTGAGTGGGGTTTACAGTGTTCTGTGGGATTATTAGACAGACTTGGCACAGATTCTTATTTGTTTGTTTTTTGGAGTGTTGGGGGTGGTGCAGGTGGGTGGTTAAAATTTTGAGAATCAAAAGAAAGCCTCCAGCACTCTTCTCAGGAAAGAAAATTTGCATATTTGCAAATGCACACAAAATGTTGCTGTGATTTCAAGGATCCCTTCCCTCCTACTCCAAGCTGAGAAACTAGTATATATCTAAAAGGAGTTGCACCCAAGACAATCTATCTAGGAAAAATGTCAGCCAGGTGTATATATCACAGTAAAAGTAATTAAGCAATGTAAAATACAACCAGTATTCATATATTCATGAATCATCAAGCTCTGAAGCTGACTTGAAACAGGTGGGTAAGCAATTTGGTAGGACTGTGCTGGCACTTCAAACTTTTCCTCCAGGTCTCCGGCTATTCCAGTGGAAATATCCAGATGGAGGCGATTCTCTGTCTTTTTCGGACCTGAAAGAGGCCAAGCTCTCAAAAATGTGAATCAATGGGATTATTTACGCACGTATAACTGGAATCCACTCCAAGATGCCGATTTCGCTGCAGAAGAGATACTCTTGCTCCCCACCCCCTCCTTTCTTTTTGACAGTCAGTTAATAAAGACTCAACAATAAGCAGCTGCCAGTGATGTCATTTGGGACTTTGTCCACGGAGCTTGTATTTACAAGCTCGGAGCAGCGACGGAGCCGCAGCGCAGGGAGCAAGTCTCCGCAAACTTGCACCGTACTCACGGCAGGACTTCCCAGCCGCTGCGGATGTTCAGGAAAACCGAGTCCCTTCTCTTAGCGTGGCCTTTGAATGCTTCAGAAATAAACAGAGGATAACCAACCGCGGGAGGAACTTTTTAGCTGGAGAGAGTTGTTGCAGTTCCTGTGTCTGTCTCCAGGACTGTGATATGTGTTGACTGAAGAGCTAACTAAAAGTAAGACTGTTGGGATTGTTTTTTTTTTTTTTTCAAACTCTTGTAACAGTTTTTCTTATTTATACAGCTTGTTTTCCTTCTAAAGTGAGATGATGATGTTTACATATTTCTTCAGGCTCTTTCGGCCGTCACAGCAAGTATGCGTTTGTTCTAAGTAACTATAGGGCCCTAAAGCGGACTGGAATGAGGGGTAGAGGACCCCTTGTCTCTGAGAACAAACACCAGGATGCAGATGATAAGGAGATACTGAATGGCTAATCCTCATTTGCCTCTGTAGGGAGGTCCGGTTTGGTTTTTCATTTGTTTTGTTTTTGTTTTTTGAAGAAATACCAACCCACCAAAAAACTATTAGGTTGATCTAGAAAGTTTAGCAGACAACTGTGAAGGCTGTTTTTTCATGAGCTGGTATGCTGCAGGGAGAACGCCACTTTTTGTCTCTGATTCTTTCTGTGGTTTATAGATTTCTAGTATGTGCATGTTAATGTTTATGGTCTCTCATCCCCTCCTACCTATACCCTCTCCCCAAACACACACACACACACACACACACACACAGGCTCATTCATCCTCAGGAATGTGCATGTATCAAAAAATATTTTGAAATTGAAACTGCTTCTATTTGGATTCTTTTCGCATTGAGTATCTGGAGAAATGTTCAGTGTTCTGACCTGTCTTCTGAGTTGGAACCCAAGTTAATGTACTACGGAAAAAGGCAAACTTTGACACTCAGCTAGTTTGGTATACAAAATCCACGTGGTTTCTTTTGCCTGCCTCAGGGCTCTTTAAAACTCTCCAGATACTCTCTGGGATTTAAATAGGAAGAGTGAGCTTCACGTGTGCCGCCAACCTGGACAGGAAGCTCTTATCCCACCTGCACCGGCTGGCCCGTGGGAGATTCTCTGTTGCCACCTGGGAGTTCTGCTTAAGAGCCCTGTGAAAAATTGTCCTTCTGTCCTTCAAGCTACCAGCTATGCTCCTCAGTGCCTGCAGTTCAGCCTCTTGCAACCAGTAGCAAATCCCAGCTGATTCCTGCTCTCTAGACCTGACAGCCCGCTGCACGGATTGGCAAGAAGTGGCTGTTAGCCTGTTAGCTCCGCACGTGAACCCCATGACTCACTCAGGAGCCTGGCTTGCTCCTGAATTCAGCTGCTCTGTCACCAGCCCAGAAACACGGTGACAGCCTTCACTGCCTTTTCCTTGTCTCTAGTCTCAGAATTGTGAGAAGCCAGTGTCAAAAGGCCTCAAAATATTTGACTGTTTTCCATGGAGTCCTAAGGTGGGTAACATCCTGCCTCTTTGTCAGCTCCACTTTTTCCATCAGAGCACATTAGGCTTAGATACGTTTTGTATATTAGAGCTCAGTACTCTTTGCAATTCTTTGCTTTAAGAGATTTGCTGCTAAAACAGATTTCAAATTATTCATGGAAGTTTATCCTTTTACAGAAGAAAAATTGAGGCACAAGGAAGAGAAGTGATTTGTCCAAGAGCACCCAGTAAGACGGTGGTAAAGCTACAACTAGAAATTGAGCCTCCCGTGTTCATTCCAGCACGTGTCCCACTTCTCAAGTTCTTAAAGATTGGAAAAGACATGGGGCCCACACGTGGTTCCTGTGCCTTCTTGTAGGAACAGGGCTATGTGCAGGTGTGCAGATGAAGGTGGTCTGGCAAAGAGAGAACATTCTCATTTTGTCTTTGGCTCTCATTACATTTCTTAATGTGTCTTTTCCTCATTGTTTTCACTAGCAAACCAAAGAGAACTCTGATTATTTTACAGTGAATGGCCTGAAGGCAAATGGGGCAGTCTCGGCAGCTGAAGTAGTTCAGAAGGCATTCTGCACTGGGTACGGGTTGGGATACCTGAGGTGATTCCCAACTCTGATACTCAGTGTTTCTGCTTTACCTCCAAGTCTCAGACTTCTTCTTATGGGCCATAGCTTGCTTTGCTTTTCCTCTTTAGGGCCCCTCTTTCCAGTGGAACCTTCTCTTCACCTTTTCATTGATTCCTCCTTCCCACTTCATTCTCTCGCTGCAGCCTGGACCTCAGTTTCCAGTATTCAGCTAGATACCATACACCCGTCCATTACCCTTCTCTCTGGAGCCTTCCTTGCCCCTGACATTCCTACCTAGGGTGGGGGGGGCCTTCCTGGACTCTCCAGGTCCAAGTGGTGATTCATTTGTTTGGACCGTCATGGTATCTTGTGCCATTTTTGGCCCTGGGATCTGGAGCTCTTTGCCATATTGTTAAATACCTCTTTCCATCGAAAGCAAGGGCTACTTGCTATATAATACTTCTTATAGCTACAGCACTTAGCACAGAGTAGTTATTCAATGTATTGTGCTAAATAAATGAATGAATTAAATATCCATTTTCCTGCCTCAAACACCCAAGCCTCAGCGCTTGGTTGGCAAAATTATCACATTACTGTGCTGAGTGGCTTTAAGTTCTTCTTCACTGTGGTTGAAGGCCCTTGATGCCAGACTTCTGAGCATGAAGACAGGGATATTCTTGATGTGAGGCCTGGCTGTCTTCCCTGGCTCGTTTCTCTCCACTCCACAGTGTGGACTTAGAGCTGTTTTGGGGATTCTGGGCCTTGTGGCTCGTCATGGTCTTCACTATGCAGCACAGCTTAGTGACTGAAGACTTGGACTCTGGAACTGGGCTGCCCAGGCTCAAGTCCTGCTTCTGCCACTTGCTGGCTTTTTGATCCTGGTTAATTCGCTTAACTTTTCTATTTCAATGTCTCCTCTTTAAAATGTGGATAACGAGAGTGCCTGCTTTATGGGAAGCTGGAGAAGCATTGGATATCTTAATGTAGCTAAAACAATAGGCACAATGCTGGGCATACATTAAGTGCTAATGAGTATTAGCTACTGTTATTATTTACATTGCAGATGGCCATGTCCCACCCCAGACTGACTGAATCATGACCTCTAAGGTGAGATTCAGATCCAGCGGTGGTTAAAAAGTTCCTCAGATGATTTCCATGGGGATTACTGGCCTAGCTACCAAGGGCTGCTCTCTGTTACTGAAATATGCTGGGGCTTGTATGTTCTTCAGCACATCTACACCTTTGTACTCCTGCGGCACCTCTCCACACACTCATGTTATCCTCCAGACCTTGCGCGCACCTCCTGTCCTGTGAGCAGCTTTTCACATCCCAGTCGCCACAGGTAGGTGTCCCTGTGCACCATGGAACTCCATCCGCTTTGGTTCACTGTGCGTCTGTTCCCCTCTTCAGCCTCTGTGTCTCGCGAGGGCAGACCTGCCAGCTGACTTCCCAGACTTAACACCGTGCATGACCCTGACCTTAGGGAATGACTTGTTGAGGAGACAGATGAATACTGCTCACTGAATGCCTTCATTTCCACTTGACTCCTGCCCTGTGCCTACCCCTTTCCCACGGCGGCATCTGTGAGCCTTGCTTCACTCTGGAGTCCCAACTTTGCCTGTGCTCCTCCCTCAGCGGGTGTCTCCCTCCCCACTTAAGAGGGAAGATTGCGGTCCCGCATTCTGAAGTCCTTCCACATTCCTTGGTTTTATCTGATGGTGTCCCCTGCTCTGTCTCCCCTTTACTTCTCTCAGATGAAGAAACGGTCACACCCCCGTGGTATTCTATGTAAACTCTGTGGGGATGCTTATGCTTCATAGCTCTATTTTAAAAGCATTTCTTTACCTTCTGCTGCTGCCACTAGATTCTAGTGAATTTGAGATAGGGCTGCTGCCAAATTTGAGTTGCCATATTTGTAATCTTAAGTATAATTTGTAATCTCAGCACCTGCCACACAATGAGTTCTCAATAAATAAAAAAAATGTATGGATGCATGGTTGATGGGCACAATAAAAACAGATTTAAAATGTTTTCTTCCAACAGCAATCACTATTGAGTGGTTACTGTATACCAGGCACACTTCCAAACTCTGTGCTCATGCTATCTTATTATGATCGTTGTATTCATTGTCCAAGCAAAAACACTGATGCTCAGAAAGGTTAAGTAATGTGCACAAGTCACATGGGTGAGTAAGAGGTGGAGGCAGGATTTGAACCCACAGCACATACTCTTTTTTTTTTTTTGAGGTGGAGTTTCACTCTTGTTGCCCAGGCTGGAGTGCAATGGCATGATCTCCACTCACTGCAACCTCCGCCTCTCAGGTTCAAGTGATTCTCCTGCCTCAGCCTCCTGAGTAGCTGTGATTAGAGGCACACGCCACCACACCCAACTAATTTTTGTATTTTTAGTAGAGATGGGGTTTCACCATGTTGGCCAGGCTGGTCTCAAACTCCTGATCGCAAATGATCCACCCGCCTCGGCCTCCCAAACTACTGGGATTACAGGTGTGAGCCACCGTACCCAACCCCACAGAGCGTACTCTTAACCTTTCATTTTACTGCTCTCTGGATATGGAGGCCTCGTGAGCCTCACATTCACCTACAATGACGTTTTGGTCATTCACATCTGGCCCTGACTGACTGCACTGGCAGAGTAGAATAGCAGATTAATACTTCTAAGTGCCAGCCAGTCAAACTGGTGATTCATGTTTTCTAGTCTTTCTGAAGTGTCTAATGCCTATGTCCAGTCCTTTGATATTTTTGTTTTTCTTTTAATTTCAGATCTGAATTTTTTTTTTTTTTTTTTTTGAGATGGAGTCTCACTCTGTTGCCAGGCTGGAGTGCAGTGGCATTATCTTAGCTCACTTCAACCTCTGACTCCCTGGTTCAAGCTCTCCTCCTGCCTCAGCCTCCCGAGTAGCTGGGATTACAGGCACATGCCACCATGCCCAGCTAATTTTTGTATGTTTAGTAGAGACAGGGTTTCACCATGTTGGCCAGGATGGTGTCAGTATCCTGACCTCGTGATCTGCCGCCTTGACCACCCAAACTGCTGGGATTACAGGCATGAGCCCCCACGCCTGGCTAGACCTGAATCTTTTTGTGGAGTAGCCCAAGTTTATGGTTAAACATCAAGATTATTTACATTCTTGGTTTGGGTCTTGGTAGGCCT